GAGTTCTCTATAAGAAACGCCAAATATATTTTGTTCCCAATGATACATATCTCGACAAGAAAGAGACCTGTCTCTTCCACCCATCCCATTTCTGACTTGTTGATCACGTAGTAGAATATCGATATATAAATATACACTAACATACATCTTCTACATAATCGAGGGTATTAGATATATATTCTCCATTCTGCTATTATGAAAATACTGATAGTATATAAGCGTAGCCGATAGTAATGAGAGAAAGAGAAATCGTAATAACTATAAAGCTATTCGAGATAATTTATTCTCTTCTTCAGAAACAACTACGTACAATCAAGTCAACAAATAAATAATGAGTTCAGAACAAAAAAGTAAATCTTCTAACGAGAAATTTTCTTGTATATCATTGATAATTGTTGTTCGTAGGTGACAAGACTGCATTAGCAGCTGCTATCGCCGAAGCTCATAGAACTGGTGATGATACACCAGACATTGATCCACGTAAGAAAGCTGATAGAGAAAATCAAGGTTGGCTTTCAGGTGATCAATTTACAATTGCTGAAACTCCTGTTGCTCATATCAATTCAACAGTTGGAACCAAAGAATAAAACATTCTATCATCGAATGAATAACTATTGATTTTTTTTACATATAAACAAGCATTTTTACTTATTATATGCATGTTTAAACATTTTCTATATGAAGTAAATCTTATCTATTAATCTAATTAAATATTTGTTTCGCATATTTTATATATCGGTCAACAAAATTTTATTAAAATTGATTTTTCTTTATGGTACATAAAAAGAGGAAAAAGCAAAAAGTAAAAATTCAGATAGATATTTTATATTCAATCCAAAAATGTTGTGCCCAATTATTGACTTTATCATCATATATTCAATGTTCCCAAGCGATATGAGAAAAATTAATAGTACGTAGACAAGGCAATATATGCGACTGTCAGATGTCATTCGACTTCATATTATGTCTATGATAATGAGAAAAGCTTAAAAGAATTCAGGTCCACGACCGACTGTTGTTGATCAGTTTTGGTTGTTGCAATGAAATATTCATTAAGCTAGATGCATTTCTGAAAGATTAAAAACAGAGAATTTTTATCTACAAGCTAAATCAGCAAAAGTCGGTCGTGGACCTGAATCCTTTTAAGCTTTTCTCACTATCCTAGACATAATATAAAGTCGAATGACATCTGACAGTTACATATATTGCCTTGTCTACGAACTATTAATTTTCCTTATATTGCTTGAGAACATTGAATATATGATAATAGAGTCGATGATAGATTTAGGCGTCGAATCAATAAAAAATTCACACCCACAAACTTTTAACTTCAAATAAATTTTTTATACGCACGTGTTCATAAATTATCTCATAGATTAGACGACGTTCAATCACAATTAATCATACGATTAAAAACTGACTATCATAGTGTTCAGAGTAAATTCGAATCCAATTACCGTGAATGGATAAAGTTATTTTTCTCAGCCTTAATTTCATTAATGATTGATATATATATACAATAGTTATTAGAATTTTACAACAAAAAAAATTTCTATGCAACAATGAGAACGACAAGTAGAAAATTTACAAAAAGAAACTGTATTTGCAATGTATCTTGAGTGATATTTCGAAACTTTTATTATTAGAAAACCAACCAATTGACTGTTACATTGATTTGTTCAAATTTTTTTAAGTTCAGCTATATATAAGGCATTAATGTTCTGTACACTATTGACACGGACATGATGTAAATCCACATTTTTGGATAAAACTAATTGCAATAATACAAAGTTTTACTCTGTGTATTTTTAGGAGCATCATTGATAGAATATGATTTTGCCGGTGCTCTTTCGGCTGAAAACAGCTCGTCTCAAATTTTTTTTTCCCTATAAAAGTTATTATCAATCGATAAATATACATCAAATATTAATATTACATTTTAAAGTTACTCTATCTACACATAAGTGCGTATTCATTACGTCGTCAAAGAATTACATATGCTATTCAAAAATAGACAAAAATACGCTTAAATTAATAAATTGTTGCTCTTATTTTTCTCTGGAGTTCAACAAAGAGAATCGAAAGATGAAATAGATGCCACAATCTAATATATTGCATTCTAAATCATAATCACTAATAGAAAGAAGATCAAAATATTGTTGGTTATGGTTCATATATTTTTCTAATATGATTCTATTTTCTAGTGTACAATATAGCTCTATTGAGTTACGTTTCATTGATAGTCATGGTTTACAATCTCAAGGTGTCTATAAAGGTGAAATATAATCAGACAATTTCTCTTTTTTTGTCCTTTTATACTTTGTTAATCTTTATTTTTTAGGAACTCACAATGGATGGACAACATGTCCAATCTTTAAAAATTTTCAATATAGTTTATTCTGCTGTTCGTAGTGTTCAAATTCTAATCACATTTGTATCTATGGTAAACATGAATGATAGTAATGCAACTATCAACGAACACTATTGTATATGGGACAATGTGAAATTTTTAATGATGAAATTATGATACTTACTACAAAATGACGAATAATATTAAACAAATATTCTCTCACGTTATGTGAATGAATGATCACAGTCATATTTTCAAGATTGAAATTTGATCTTTAAGTAGATGTTTAATGAATAATGCTTTTATATTGCTAATGCATTAGTTTTGTGAAACATGATTGAAAATGAGTATTGAAGCTGAGGACGGGAAAATTGAACTCTCTCTCCTCACAGGCCGTGGCAGATATGTCACTTTCTAGTATGGCTTTCGGATCATTGTACCATAGATTTTTAAATCATGATTCTATGATTTCAGCAAATGGGTTTATCATTCTACGGACAATAATAAATTATTTTACGATTCGAACAATAGGGTAGTTTACTCTACAACTTTAACCAAAGGGGTTCACTGTTCTATGGTTTGAGAAAAAGGGTTTATTAAATAGAACAAGACAATTTAGTTTTATTTTATTTTCTTTATTTAGTTATCACGATAAGCAATACAATTGTTTCTGATTTGCTATGACAAGCTTCATCTTATCCTCTCCATTTTCCCCCGGTGACCAAATGCGATATATCAGAGATTTCTCCCAACCCTCTTTCATCACATGATTCATGAACCATTCATGGTTCTCCAGCATCTCATTACAGAAATAAAATAAAATAATTTAATTTGATTTTTTTCTTCTTCATTCAGGTATTCCTGCAGTTTTTAATAATATTATGCAAGAAATCGGATAAGTTACTTTATTTGTTTGCTTCTTTATTCTGTATTTAATCTTGTTCATAGTCAGGGCTGCCAAATCTCCTGATTTAGCCAGGAAACTCCTGATTTTTAGACTTTTCTCCTGGTGAAAAAATCTCCTGAATCCAGGAGCTGATTTTTATGATTTTCTCCTGGTTTCTCCTGGTTTTTAAAGGGTTTTGTCACGTTTAATTGTAGTGATATTTTGAATCAATAAGACAAAGAAAAAGAGAACTATCACACTATTTCATAGATGCAATAGGCAATAAGAAAACACGTCGTTTCTGCTTGTTAGGCCTGATAACATACGTTTATTTGTGAGCTTATTTTCTTGACGGTTAAAATGTACCTCATGGACAAAAACTAGTTTAGTTCGCTTTTTCTATATCAACCTAGAATGCTATTTGTGAATTGACCTTCAGCCACATGAAATTTTTGTGGGCTCCTAATACAAACGATTTGAAGTGCAATCTTATTGGTGCATAATTAGGAACTAAATGAATAATCATCTCAGTTATACAAAGTTCTATAATTATCTTTTAAATAATTCAAACCTATTGAAACAAATTCAGTCTTTAGAAAAATATGGCCATGTTCATAGGTGGCGAAATGTTTTGGATCTAGGGTAGTCTCAACAATTTTTTACAAGATTCGCACCAGAAAATTAAAAATATGGAGTAAGCCAATTTTTTTGATGCCATCTTGATGAAACAAAGTTAGTATTTCTCATTTCGAACTCGTATTTTGTAATGTATGACGCTGATAGAGATAAGAAAAGCATTTGCAACTTATGTGTCAAAACACGTGCATTTAAGAAAACATGTCGATGATTATCTTCATTGACTTCCAACTCTCACAAGAATTCTTTTCCATCTGCTGTGCTAAAAAATAAAATAATGTCCAAGTAGCAATGTTCACAAAAACGACATTACATTATGAATGTTTTTATTGTGTTGAAAAGATATTTTTTCTGCGGGAATATTTTTCTATACTCGTCGTTTTCTTGCTCCATTTCTTATGGCAATGGGAACTCCATTAAGTATTGGTGTTCCCGCATTTTTTCTCGTATTTACCTACATATTTGGATATATATATATGTAGCAGCGTTTTATTTTTACGTAACTAACCTACTGTAGCTCCAATCATAATTATATTATTAATTTCAAGTCGTGTCACGGTTATCTTAAAATCTAAAAATAAAACAGGAATATGAATTCCTGAAGTCTTACGATTAGAAGTGTAAATCGCCGAGCTGAGTCGCCGCTGTCGGTGGGACAAAAAAACTAACAGTTTTGAAGATTTTTCGACGCCTGAGATCGCTCTTCAACGATGTTTCTGTCTAGGTTTTTTATCAGTGTGTTCTCTACCATTGTTTTCTCTTTTTTCATCCGATAATTTCGCGGAAATAAGAAAACCTTAAAGAAATCGTCCAACAAATTCACTCAACTTCGCCGACAGCCTAAAAAAGTTGAGTATTTTCAGTCGCTACCGAAATAAAAAAAATAAAATCGCACTTACACACCACCGATCTATGAACTGGTTTACGCTTCTGCTTACGGAAGTGAAAATAAATTTTTTTCTGGGAATAAGAGTGTAAGAACAAGAATAACAATTTTTTTCCGAGAAAGAGAATATACGGGCGAGAACAGAAAGAATAGTCGAGAAAAGTTGCTCTCATAACACTAATGATCGGGTAATGTAAACTTAGTCGCTAAAAATGATGAAAGTCTTTGGCAGCTACTAGCTGATATGATTCAGGTTTTTTATGCAGTACTTCGTCACTTTTAACGAAAGAACCTTACTTTAAACCATGGCTGACCCAAAATTTGAGATTTATCCACACAAAACTAAAAGTTTTCTCAAAAACAGTTTCTAGGTCTGTTTCAATAAATGTTACTATTTGTTGTCGATAGCGACAAAAAATCTTGACGCCTGTTCAAATTTTTTATGTACTGCACAAACCTATCAATTTAACGTAGTAGAAAACAATTATTTGAGCGTACCATAGTCTATGGAATCTGAACCTAAGATAGGCTTTAGTCTACTCAAGCCGTGTGATTCCATCATCTACGAATAGACGCTATCTAAGCCTTCATTTATTCCATCCACGAGTCTACCTAAGCCTTTAGCTGTCCAACCTAGCGTAGGCTCGAGTATACTCGGGACTTGTGATCCCTTCGTTCATGGTCATGTTACAAAAGTGACATGAACGATATAGTTAATAAATTATTGTTCATGTATGCCCATTTTGTTTAGTTACATATTAATGTCTAATTAAACTTCATTTTCTATTTTGACGGTATATTTTGATAAACCACTGTGAAATGAATAGTAAAATAAATTCCACATAATTATGTTTTTTTAAGAATATATATCACTGAGAGGAAATTTTGTCATCAGTAACTTAGTAGAAGAACATAACGAGTGATTAGACGAACGAAAACTTCAGTTTTCTTTGAGAGAAGACCACTAATTCATTTTCTGATTTCAATAAACATCTTCTGATTTTTCTCCTGATTTTTTTCTTTTCTTCTCATCATTTAGATGTTTTTATATAATACTGCGTTCGAGCAATGATTGAGTGCTATGAAATTTTCAACTGGATTGATAATGTAAAGATCGTTTTGATATCTCCCTCATAAAGGTTGTATAGTTTAATGGAAGTGTAACGTACAGCAAACCCTATAAGGATCTATGAATATTAATGAGTCTTTCACAGGGAGATCTGCTTGTTTTCATCTTCAATGAAAATTGCGAGTTACGAAATACTTGGAATTTGAAAGCTATGTGTTCGATTATATTCAAGTTTTAAGTTGTACACTATTAAAATTTTTAAGAAATATTCAACTGTTTCGAATAGATAAGAATTATTATGTTAACATGAAAAAAGGAAGAAAAAAAAAGCAATGGAACTACTTCAAATAAGGTGTTGTCAACGAAGACCATTTAATTCTTAAGTATTTCGTTGTAGTCACTCACTTTTTTCAAGTATTTTAAAAGCCTGACAACGTTTTAACTAGTGTTAATTGTATGCATTTTTTTATTTGCCATGGCAATTTTTTTATTTTCTCTGTTTCATTATATACTACAATGTTCACAGAAAGGGAAGTATCTTTCAAGGTCAATAAAGTAATCGTCTAAGCAAAAAGTAACCATCGAATTTATAAAATGTGAAGAACATAAACAAACTGAAACTATTTGCTACCTAATAAATTTTTTTCTCCTACGAGTTGTACATTTAAATATATTATCGAAATAAAACTACATAATTCACTATGGGTTGTGGATCTTCATCAGAAACTCACGTTATTATTCCTACAGCGTCTTCATATAATGATAAGAGTGAGTTAAAGAAAACACCTAATACTCCATTGAGTGCGACATCTCAGACTAGTAAAAAATCGAGAATAACTTCGGGCGCATCCCAGAATGATGCAATGGCAAGAATAACAAATGGTACATCTGAAACTTGTTCGACAGTCTTACAATCATCCAATGAAGGAAAAACATCTGCCAATCCGTCAATACATTCGCAGGATGATACCAAACACGATGTGGTTATTATATGGCAGGGCTGCCAACTGTACCCCATTTGGGGGTACAGTACCCCATTTCGTTCTTTTGTACCCCTGAAAATGTTGTACCCCAGGGGTACGTATTTTGTACCCCATTTCGGTTTTTAAATCTGCATTGCTATTAACTAATCATCTGATGAAAAAAATCAATATCTTGTACAGACCTCTATAGTAAAAAGTATTGGTAAACAACTGACTAATACAAAGTGGCGTCTATTTTGTTTAATCTAATCTTGAATCATTCTATTTTAAATACTATTTTCGAGTAGACAATGAAATAAATTTCAAGGAATTTATGTTTTGTTGTTCATTATTCTTTTGTTACTTTTTTCTATCATACTAAAAAAGGCATTTTGAACTTTGTATCAAAAAGAAATTCAATTTTAGATTTTGTATTTGATAAATGGGATAATATCTTCAGTATGGAATTGAACAAAAATGATGACATTGAAATCTCGGATGATTCACCTTCAGAGACAGAAGCAGCAGCAACAGAAACTATTGAAACACATTCGTCTTATTCAAACAAATTAATTACTAATACTAAAAACGAAAAAAGAAATTCAACGTCAAAAAGACGTTGCACTTTCAACCAAAACTGGTTGAAAGATTCTAAATATGCACCATTTCTCAAGGAATGTCGAACTAATAAACACCTTGCTTATTGCTCTGTTTGTAAATCAAATTTTTCTATTGCTAATGGTGGTACCTATTTGATTAATCGTCATATGGAACAAGATAATCATAAACGATTAGCTGAAACTCAAGAAAAAGAAAATTGTAAAACTAATCTGAAATACATTTTTTTAAATAACTTGTTTTTGTTTTATTATTAAGCACGATCAATACGTGATTTTATTGTTCCATCATCTGCATTAACTAAATTAACTGCAGCTGAACTTAGTCTTGTGTACCACGGCGTCCGTCATGGATACAGTTACATTAGTCAATCATGTACTTTTGATCTATTAAAAAAAATTTTCGGTGAATCTTATATAGGACAGAATATTTGCTGCGGTAAAACAAAAGCTCGTGAATTATCTGTAAATGTTCTTGGTGAGCTACTTCGATTTATACTATTTCTAGAAAAATACTATCTGATAAAAAATACGAAAAAAAATATTTGATTCAATATTTATGTTTAGAAAACATTGATGTTTGATATTAACTTTTTTAAATAAAATATAATATAATTTTAGCTCCATATTTTACTTCTAAAATTATACAACAAGTTCATAAATCGTGCTTTTATTCTTTGTCATTTGATGGTTCTAACAAAGGGAACATAAAGATGTTTCCGTTTATTATTAATTACTTTACGATCGAGTCTGGTATTGTAAGATCTGTTCTCGAAGTTGTAGAACAGCCATTTGAATCAGCTGAAGCTATTGTTAAAACAATTCATCATGTATTAAAAAAACATAATCTTGATATTGAAAAATTAACATCTATTGGAGCTGATAATATTAATACAAATTATGGTCGATATCATTCAGTTTTTAGTATTATGAAGCTTGAGATTTTAAATTTGTTTAAAGGTAATAGTAGCAGTATAAGTTTAAAAAACAAATGCTAAAAATATTTTCTTTTTTTTTCTTAGGAAATTGTTTTTGTCATATTTTATCTAATTCAGTCAAAACGTCTCATCATTATTTACCTGTTGATGTTGAGTCATATTTATCTCAGTTATATAGTCACTTTAGTTCATCATCAAAACGTGTGGCTGAATTAAAAGAATATTTTGAGTTTGTCGAAGAAGATTATCTAGTAAGTATTTCCAACTCTTTACATTTTAATATAAATATAATACTATCATCTTTTTAGCGTTTGCTTCAACACATAAAAATTCGGTGGCTTAGTTTGTACAACTCAATTGATCGTTTACTAAAAGTCTATGATCCTTTATCATCATATTTTTTTGAAAATGATAAAGAAAATGAAGATCGAACAACATATCCACAGATTATCATCAATTTTTTTTCATCAACTGTGTCCAAATGTACATTACATTTTTTACATCAAGTATTATTTGATATTCAACTAAAAAATTTAGAATTACAACAATATTCTACATCATTTGCTGATTTACATAGAATTATTACTAGTTTATTGAAAAAACTCAACGATCGTCTTGAACAGAAGTATTTTGGCCATCACATCAGATCAATATTGAATTCAATGTCAAAAGACGACCAAGAAAAAACAATTTCATCATTTACACAATATTTATCAAACGTTATTAAATACATAAATAAATATTATGAAGAACATTCATTATTAGCTGAAACTTTATCTATTTTTGGTATGTTTTTTTACCATTAACAACGAATAAATAAAAAATTTCTTTGATTTTAGGAATAATTGAAATTGATCAAATAAAATTTGATCAAATTGAACGTTGTGTGAACATTCTTAAACTTGAACTTGATCATGATCAGTTGTTTGAAGAAATGATCAATTTACAAACAACGTTCAAAAAGGTTACTTCGTATCGTGAACCACTCTATGTTCAAATACAAAAACATGTTGGTAATAACAATTTTATTTTTGATGATACTGAAGAAACACATGAAGAAGAAACATTAATTCATAAAACAACAACATCGAATGATGAATATAATCATCCGAAAATTCGTCCTGATCAACTTTGGGCTTACCTTATTTCAAAAACAACACCAAATTGTCAAGAAATAATAAAATTACTTTCTTTTGTATATTCAATTCCATGTTCTAATGCTTTTACTGAAGGTGTATTTAATCATATGAAGCTCGCATGGACACCTAGTCGAAATTCAATGAATGTTGAAACTGTTGCTGCTGAATTACAGATAAGATTAAATTGTAAATTGAAATGTTATGATTTTTTTTCATTTGTACAAACTGAATCCGACTTGATCAAATGTGCTCGAGGCACACAAAAATATAGCTTTAAAAAAAAAGCTTGTTCTACTTGATTGTATATTAAATATGTATTAATGTACATTACATTGTGCAATTATGTTTTTGTTCTTATTATTTGTCTTGTTTTCAATTTTGAACTTATGCATTAACTATTATAATATTTTATAAGAGAAAATAACTAATAAAGCTATTTCAAGTATCAAATTGTGAAATATTGTGTTGTTTTCTATAAAAAAGCTTGATTTCATTGATTTTCCCAATTCAATTTACTATTCAAGAAGATAGATAATGTACCCCATTCATGTACCCCGATCGAAATATGGATGTACCCCAAATATACCCCATTTAGATTTTTATAAACCCCATTTCAAAAAAAAAAGTTGGCAGCCCTGTTATATGGGTAGATCCTTATATAGATATTACTGAAAAAAATTATCATAGTTCAATTACTAAACTTCAACGAATTACTAATGTGATTCATACATTTACTCAATCTGATCAATGTATTCATTGTCTTACTACCATTAATGAGAATAATATTGCTCTTATTGTTACGGTTACACTCTGTGAACAACTTATACCACTTGTTATCGATAAATCAAAACTTAAATCAATTTATATATTTAATCAAGAAAAAGAAAAACAAATAAACTGGACTAATAAATGGGAAGGAAAAGTAAAAGGAATTTTTTATGACATCGAACAGATCTTTCAAGCAATTAAAGTCAATAATAGTCAAACAACTAGTTCGAATTCAATCAGTATTCTACTAAAAAATAATACAGAAATGAAAGATAATGAATCCAATAAACTAGACCCATCATTCATGTATGCATATTTGCTTACAGAAATTCTTATTGATATGGATTATGATGATAATGCAAAAAATACATTCGCTGAATCCTGTCATCTTCGATATATAGATGATAAAAAAGAATTAGCCGATATCGAAGAATTTGATCGAGATTACGAGAGTCAAATTGCTATTCAATGGTATACTAAAGATTGTTTTCTCTATAAGACGATGAATCGTGCTCTAAGAACGCAAGATATTAAAACTATTGTAGAAATGGGATTTTTTGTACGTGATCTTCATAAACAGATTACAGAAATGTATAAACAACAAAGTAATCAACAGAAACCAATGACGATTTATCGTGGTCAGGTTGTTTCATCTGATGAATTCGATAAATTGAGAAAAAGTAAAGGTGGTCTTATTTCATTCAATTATTTTTTGTCAACCAGTACTAATATTGATATTTCAAAACAATTCGCCAGAAATTCGCCAGAAAATAAACTTAATCCAGTACTCTTTGAAATATACATTGATCCAAACATATCATCTGTACCATTCGCTTCTATCGATAGTATTAGTGTTTTCGAAGGTGAAGATGAAATTCTTTTCTCTATGCATACTATTTTTCGTATTGTGAAAGTTTAAGATATTCAGGATGAATATTTACTTGTTAATCTACATCTAACAGACGAGAATGATCCAGCACTCATGAAATTAACTGATCATTTCAGAAAAGAAATTGGAGATGGCGATTGTTTGGAACGATTAGAACATTTAATGCTGAAAATGGGCGAATTCACTCAAGCTGAAAATATTCTAGGTAAACAACTAAAGTCTACACGCAAAGAAACATGGCATAAACAAACTCATCTCAATCATCAACTAGGATATGTCCATAGTCTAAAGGGTGACTATGAAATTGCATTATCATACTATGAAAAAGCACTCAAAATAGAATTGGTTAATCTTCCTGAAAATGATTCATTACTAGCTTCTACTTACAATAATATGGCTAGTACATATTATTCAATAGGAAATTTTTCATCTGCATTGGTTTATTATATAAAAGCGCTTGAAATTGAACAAAAATCTCTTCCTTCCGATCATCCAATGTTAGCTACCACCTACAACAATATTGGATCCGTTCATAATTCAAAAGGTAATTACACAGAGGCACTTGAACTCTATCAAAAGACACTTAATATTCGACAAAAAACTCTTCCTGAAAATCATCCAGATATGGCTATTATCTATAATAATATTGGATCGGTTTATAATTCATTGGGTGACGATCAAACTGCACTTTCATCGTATGAACAAACTCTTGAAATTCAAAAGAAAGCTCTTCATCCTAAACATATCGATCTAGCTATTAGCTACGGCAATATTGGTACAATATATAATTCAATGGGTGATCACGAAAAAGCACTGGAATATCATACAAAATCATTTGAAATTCGAGACAAATCTCTTCCACCGAATCATCCTGACATAGCTTTGAGTTACAACAACATTGGTTCAGTTTATAATTCACAAGGAGATTATATGAATGCATTATCATATTTTCAAAAAGCACTCGAAATTTGTGATACATCTCATGCACGCAATCATATCGGTTTTGCTACTACTTATGACAATATTGGTTCAGTCTATAAGTCAATCGGTAATAAATCGGCTGCACAATCGAATTATCAGAAAGCATTTGATATTCGTCTACATTCTCTTGGTGAAAATCATTCTGATATGGCTATTAGCTATAATAATCTTGGTACAATTTATAGTTCAATGGGAGACAAATTGAAAGCGTTTGATTGTTATCAAAAAGCACTTGAAATTCAACAAAAATCTCTCTCAGAAAATCATCCAAACATAGCACAAACTTACAACAATATTGGTTTACTTTATAATTCGATGGAAGAATATTCAAAAGCATTATCATCATATGAAAAAGCACTATCAATTCAACAAAATTCAAAATCTATTAAAGAGCAATCCATAGCAATAACATATTATAATGTAGGATCTACATATTATTGTATGAAAAATTATCCAATAGCTATTTCATTTTTTGAAAAAGCATTAACAATACAACAAAAAATACCGTCAATGAATTATCAAGATTTGGCAAACACTTATAATAACATAGGTTTAACATATTACGAAATGAATGATTATGAAAAGGCTATTTCATTTTATGCAGAAGCATGTACAATTTGTGAAAAACATCTTGCTAATGAAGAATCTTTATTGATAACTACGTACAATAACATAGCTGTCGCATACAATACTATGAATGATAAATCGAAGGCTCTGTTATTTTATGTAAAGACCCTTAAACTTCGTGAAAAAAATTCTACTACAAATGATTTATCATTGACTAATATTTATAGTAATATCGGATCAATATATGATTTAGTGGGGAATTATTTGGACGCTATTAATTATTATCAGAAAGCAATGGCAATTGAAGAAAATGCATCACCAAAAAATGATCTCTTATTATCAAATACTTATAGCAATATTGCTGTTGCCTATAAACAGTTGGAAGACAATGAAAATGCTCTTAAATTTTATCAAAAAGCACTTAGTATTCGAGAAAATATTCAGACTACCGATAATTCAGATTTAGCGATTATTTATAATAGTATGGCATTTATCTATCAAAAAATGAAGAATTATTCGGCTGCTGTAACCTTTTATCAAAAAGCGATAGCAATTGACGAGAAAACATTTTCTTCGGATGATGCAAAATTAGCAACAATATACAATAATCTTGCTGTCGCTTATCATTCTATGAAAGACGAAATAAATGCTTTGTCATTTTACGAAAAAGTATTACCTATTCGAGAAAGAATACTCTCTGCCAATGATCCATCATTAGGTTCAACTTACAGTAGTATTGCCTCGATTTATTCATCAAAAGGTATGAAATCAGATGCTGTTAAATTTTATGAAAAATCACTCAAAATTCATGAAACATTACCATCTCCTAATCACTCATTGATACATACGATGCATCTTAATACAGCAGTAATGTATGAAGATCTTAACAATCATGATGCAGCTGTTACACATGCCGAGCGTTCTCTCAATAATGCTCGCTTGGCTTTTAATCCTGATGATATAAAAATAAAACATATTCAAGATTATGTTGATATGCTTCATAAGACTTCATGATTATATAAATCATAAAAACATGACAACATTGTCTGATTGAATTCAATAAAAGTTTTATTTCTATTGCCTTTACATATATTGTAATTTGCTTTGATGATTTGAAAAGATAATTAAATTGGGCAACATCTTGAGGGTTTAGGTATGGGTCAACAAAAGGTCAACAGCAATACTAACACTCACACCTGGTGAAACAATACAAGCTGTTGACAAAGCCATAGTCACCTGTCTTTAACTTGAGATGATACCATGTACTGTTGCCGTTGATAGTACTTTGGCTGATAGTGTAACAATCGTCAGTAGCAGTACTACAGAACTTAGGTCCATTACTTGCACAAGACGAACTTTGGCTTCAATATGATAAAACGAAATTGAATGAATGAACATCAGAAAAAATACATATCACCTGATAGTTGTCTAAACATGGGGAGGTATCATCGTCGGGAGTGAGTGTGGACCCATAGATTTGGGCAATAGAGTTATAGAGTGTGTATCGTCGTAGAACAACCTTTTGATTGCGTTGTACATACACTACCCAACGTTTCTGATTAAACTTTCGATCAAAACAGGCCATGATTTTTGATTGCAAAGGGTGCGCTGGTGTGATTTCATGTTCGTCAGCTGATTTTTTTCAAGTAGAACAACAGAGTGTTGCTCAGACTGTGCAGACAAGTGAAAATAAATCATAATCCTATAATCTTGCTCGAGAAGGACATCAACATGTAACTGTATTCCTGGTGAAAGAATGACTTCCTGTTCGTATGAATAATTTGTGTAACTGCTAATATCTCGAGCATTCAAATTCTTTGCCATGCGGAGAACGTACGCCTCGTCAGACGCTACGATCTTGTGGGCGAAGAGCAATGTTCAGAACTTGATAGAGACTATGGTTGTCCCATTCCATGGTATGGCAATTATTCGAAAATCATGCCGTTACTGAGCATCTTCTTCAAACGTTGTCCTCATGTATTGTTGAACATACTCTAGAGATAAACGAATGATGATTGATCCTTCGTGAGATCATGTTTATTCGGATAAAGACAACGCTCTTTGGCCACTTTGATATAATCAGCAAGGCCGTCGTTAGTGGTTGAATAAGCTCAATAGCTATCTCTAGCGATACGAGCAGTTGTTTCTTATAAGCATAAATTAGATTAAGGTGATTGTCATTTGTTACTGTTTCATCGATGAAACAAACTGCAAACCATTGATTCGAGTTCATCATTACTTCAATGAATAAAGTTATGTTCTTTCGTTTAGAAAATATCATATTTTAATGAGACGATCAATTCATTTATATTTAACACATGACTAGTGTTCTTTTGGAAGTTTTCATCGAATTCGAATCCTATCGTCTGAATTGATTTGCATCTTTTTAGAGAGTGTGGTAGTACGAATGTGGATAAAGACGATGATCCGACCCATATTCATATCCACACTCCAGACGTTGATAGATTCTTTTTTTCTGTTTATACAAATGTGGAATATTAGTCTGATAAGATGTGAATGACAACGAATTCATTGAGTACGCTAGAATTCTTATAGAAAATCAAATTAAATTTTCTGATAGTAATTATATTTGGATCGATCTCTGACCTTATGATATTCCACAGATATTTTCAAAACTAACGTCCTCTATAATACATTTAGGCGAATATCTTAAGAGTGGTTTATGATGAAACACTGCTCTTCGTACTTCTGAAATCAAGACAAGCAAGCTTTTATTTGACAACTTTCATCCAATCATTCGAAGCTTCTACAAACTCAAAATTATCCCTATCTATACGACTAGATCACGTATGATATCAATATAGAGCGATACATGCCAACAGTATCGAGTTATATAAAATATCAATTGTCATGATACAAATTCAATGTTTTTATTAGAATTAACCTCAAGGCATCTTATTGGCGTCAGAAAAAGATAAACATGTATTTCATTATGGTCGAGTAATAGATTTTATTACTGCTAGAAGTCTTAGGATCTGTCCTGTTTGTAAGCATTTAGGATTATATAATTGGTTTATAATGAATTTTCATCGTTAAATATCGTTAGCATGATTCTTTATATGAAAAAAAGGATGTGGACATGGATATGGTGTATGAAGCGTGGCGTGTCCTTGTGCATCTTCTATTCACCTACAGTCGTACGAGCACGCACACATTCTCAAGTATGTGCGCTGCGAAATTCGCCATCGCCATAATTTAACAAGACGAGCAAATAGTTGGAATCGGAATGGCACAGCCATAATAGAAATTGAATGGGTATTTTTGCAAGAAATCGATGATTATATTTGAGGTATTTTACTTCGATTTATCGTTAGAAGTGAGTCATTATGACATTAAATCAAACCCAGTCATCATTAGCTGTCTGGCCATCTGTGAGAGTTTTTTACGTTCTGTCTTACTTTGACAATTATACGTCTGTACAATGAGATGTTTTCTTTCTTTCTTTCTTTCTTTCTAGCACTGATATCCTCATGCACAGCAATAGAATAGCAAATGCACCTGTAGTGCAAATCAGACGTCATTCGTCAAAATGAAATCTTATTTTTGTTGTATACCGCATCGACGAAGAAATGACTAGTCGTTAAGAACGTGTGTCATTGTGAAAAATACCTAATTGGAATTAAAATAGATGTGTAAAAAGAAAAAACCCAACCGATGACATAAGATTGTGTAATTAGTTGTGTGTAAGATCTAATTGGGGAAAAAAAACCCGACCATTACTATATAAACAGGCATTCTTAGATTCAGACCATCCCGTATCTGTATTTACGTACTTATTTAATTTTCATCCTCGTATTTTCAAAAATGGATCGATATTCTTCTCGTACGGAGGCTATTTGTGTATGTGCATTCAAAGAATCATCCGATAATGAACAACAGCAACATATAACTAATGTGCCATCATCCAATCTCGGCTCGTCTCATGATCAAGAATATCAAACTATGTTCAAGAATAAAGGAATGAGAAAAGCCGAGCAAGTTCTTCAATTCGTTAATGATGAATATCGACTATGGCAATCAAGATCGCCATTAAAATCCAGCAGTGACGAAGACTGGACGCGTTTGCGCAGTTCAACGGCCGTGGTGTCCATTGGAGGAGCGGATGGATCTGAACTGCTCGCGCTCTTGAAGGATCTAAATTCTCGTCATGGCATTCTTGTGGAAATTAGTTCATGTGCAGCTGCTGAGGCCCGTGCTAATGGCATTGGTCATGTGATTGAGGCTGATGTCATGGACGCTGCACAAGAGGTCGTATCAACGTTACTTAACTTGCAAAAACGAGGCGAAATCTCAATTGTTCTATTCAGCTGCCAATCAGTACTACATGAACTACCCACTCGTTCACCAAAATTCACCAAGGAAGAATTTCTAAATGCGTACTTAATGCCACTAATAGCATCGGGCTTGCGAACGATGTTTTATGCTCGGGAACCATGTTCACCATCTAACTGGTCGCTCGAAACTGATTTGATTGCTATTCGTTTGTTCAACTTACACAAAAATGATGTGGAAAACATAGCTTATCATATTGCCAACAAACTCAACATTCAACAATTGGACGATTTAAGGAATAACTTGACTGACAGTGAATTTCATAGTGCTCGATTAGCCGGTAATAATGACGACGAAAACGCACGAGTAGTTTTGCCGGTGACTTTGGGTCAAGAGGTTCTGTTCAAACTTCTCTACTGGAAAAATATAGCTCACTTTGAATATGAAATGGAAGAACAATTGACTTCTTTTCAACCCGACCGTTGGTCTCCATTGCTGAAGAAGATGGGTATGTACACCAGAATATCGTACCTTACTACGGAAAATTTCGCAAATCTGTATCAAAGCGAAGAAACATTAATTGGAGAACCAATTGCCGTGAATGTGCATAATGGTAGTGCTTTACCAATACCCCAATGTTTTGCGCAAATATTTTCATCAAATATCAATGTTGAAAACACACGAAATCAACTAGTACATCAGTCTTTGAGCATACTGTAGCTGATAGAACATTTGTTCTAAAAAGTCAGATGTTTTTTTTTGCATCCATATAACCGAACTCAAAAGTTGCGATACAGTCAGTTTAAACTATTCTAGAATAATGCAATGTCTTTCCGTTTATGTTTAATCGAACTTTATATTTTCTTACTGTTTGATGTTTCAGTGAAACATGCTTCTTTTTATTGCTTGTGGTCTTTCTATGAATATAGTGTTCTATAAATGAATTGACGACAAAAATATTCAACATTTCCACTCTGCCTAAATTAATAGGGTTAATTCTTTTCTTGATGTTGGATGAGTGTGGGCAAAAGGTGTCAGTACTGGTATAGATGAGGGTGTGGCTGTCCGTGTTTTTCTTATAGACAACGACCCTCGACCTCATACTCACAACGTCCTAAAACCTCACATTCTCCGTAGGATAATGCATCAGAACAACTCAAATTCCTCAACTTTCTTGATTTATGTTTATACTATAATTCAATGAAGTCCTTGTACCGGTGTGTGTAATTTTTATCAAAAATTATTAGACACACCTCACTGAAATATTCTGTCGTGTATATATTCTCAAAATATCGTCATGGTGTGTAATGGGATTACGGCATCATTCCAAAAAAAAAGTAACTCTGCCATGCTTTGTATCTTGACATGCTCTTTCAAACAAAAGTAATAGTCGTTGGCTATAATAAATCTTCATCAAGAATTTTGAGATGTGCCATCAAAAAAATATAAACAGAAAAAGGGAAAAAGATTTTCCATTTCATCTATGAAAGATCAGATTTCGGACTGTTTCCATATATTTATCTCAATTTTCATGTTTTCGACAAAAATTGGCTTCTTTTGAAGAAGAGAGAGCTTGAATGAAATAGAATATCTTTATAACTATATGATGTATCAAGATATCATTCGCGATCAGATGCAATCGTAATCATCCATCTGAATAACATTGTAATGTTCTTTTGATGAGAAATGATTATTTTACTAATCACAACTTGTGCGGACAAACTTCACAAGTACGATTCAAAGTTGTCACGTTCGACTGAAGTACAAAAAGCAGGTGTCAAGTCGGATGATCACGCATCTCATGAGATGAATTGTGTGATCATCGGACTTGACACCATTAAGCTTCTTTCTGTAGTGACATATCAAAACAAATGTATATAAACAACAGCGCAAGATTTGACCAATTTCTTTTCAGTCAAAAGTGATAACTTTGAACCGTGTTTGTGAAGTTTGCTCGTATAAATAAAAACTTTACAGTGATACCTATCATTTGAAAAGAAAATAATTGTTTAAGTTTGATGAATAGTGGGATTATTCGAACTTATTTTTTCGGCGAAAATTTTGGAATACCCTTCAAATAAATAAATACAAATATTTTTCTTTCTTAAAATTAAAAGCATCGACATTTGATGCTCAAATAAAGGATATTCCATGAAAAAATTTCGGTTGAAAATTACTTTTTTTTTGACTCTTCATTCCCCAATCTAGATCTCTTCAGTTTTGGACGACTTCCTCATCTTCCTATGAGGTCTAATTGAAATTTTCTTTTACAAAATAGTTTGGAATATTGCTAAAATATTTTGAACATAAATTTTACGTTTAATTGAGGAATTTCTACTTATTATAACGCTTGACATATAATCGAGTCCTAATACCAATAAATCAAAGCAGACGCTATGAAAGTGTAGTCTCCCCCACGAACTATTGAAAATCTTTAGACCATTGTGCGACCTCTAAATAAAGATCGTTAAACATGATCGCGATAAAAACACTTTAGAATAGTCATATTCTTGATATGCTGCAATATTTTCCACATATATAGATTGATCATTAGATAATATCCAAACATTAAACCAGTAATCATATCTGTTCACTTTCAAATAATCTTCAAGTTTAGCAACGGCAATTATTCTCATTTGTTATGAATGAACTACTTAAATTTAACACATTTCTCTCGAATGTCCATTAGTATTGAACATTGCCAGAAACACCATTAAAAAGAAAAAGTATTGGATCGTGTGATCCACAAGTAACTCTATGTTGGTGGTACAGAGCTTGATGAACAATTAGTAGCTAAAAGAAAGTATTATTTTCTTTTTCATTAATCTGTCTCTGAAAGGCATGGCGTGTAAAATTGATAAGATTGGAAAAATAAGTTTTTTTTTCTACTTGCAAGCATAGTACATCTCGAAGACATGTTGTGTAATATATGCCAACAAAAATGTATATTAGTGAATTAAATGCATTTTCGGCCGCTTGCCAAACAAGAGTTTCAATGACCATTGGACGAATCAAACTATTCCGCCTAAAGTGAAATATATCTGATCGCATTATTCATACTACTAGCATTATAGACAAGGTCAACAATCAATTTTTGTAGGTATTTAATCAGTCGCACTTCTGAAACTGTCATGGGCGAATAGAGAATTAATTAAACATTTTTTTTTTCTTTTATGAAACACGATCTAAAAGAAGTGTCGAAGCATAGAAATTAAAATTGGGTCATCCTCCACAGACCATGACAAGCATTATTGATATACAATCACATACAGTAATCACAAAAAGTCCTGCTGCTAAGTAAATAGTACCTAAAATTTAATTCTTTAGTCTTATAGTTTGATCGAAAATAGAGCATGTTGAACATCTGATCGCAGGAACTAATCAGGACTTGATTGGTATTCATGCGGCGGAGCCACCGAGTGCCATGCTTTAATCAAATTTCCCACATATGAAGACCAACGCATTTAAACAGTGGAAAACTAGAAAAGTGTCAAAGTTACTTTTTTTTCGCCTCTCGGGAAAAAAAACAATGTTTTCATTATAAATCCTTTACATTGATGTCTGTCAACCTTGAGTTGCTGCTTGTAATCAGGATTTATCGATATCTATTTGTAATCAATACTAAGTTAAAGATATAAATTAGCAGCAGCTGGTATGTTCAAAGACATTAAATAATTTAAGATTAATTTACTAACACGAATCATATTGGATTAGTTCACAAAAAAAAAATCAAATCTATCCTGTTTTACTTTTATGCTTTTCAACCTACTATGGCTTCCATATTCTTCACTCTTATGTTACATAAGAAAAAAAGAAAGTTTTTGAAGTCTCGTGCATATCTCCATTCAAAATAGATACAATAAAACAACAGCTATATCATATGTAACATTTTAATCCATAGAGATTATGCTAACAGCTTGTCTGCTATGAACTTTATCATTGGAAATAATAAATTTAAATTAACATAATTTGATCTTACTTTATTTCATAGATAATATATTTTAAAAAAAAAGAAAAAGACATACAAATAATACATGAATATTCCTACAAATACGTATATAAAAAAAAAAAGAAAAAAGAAACTTCAAAATTTTTTATTTTTGTGTTTGACGAATTTGACGTTTTGATTTCGTTTTGTTCATTTCCTCAGGAGATGACATAGAACTAAGTGCACCAAATATAACAACAAAAAGAATAATGAGATAATCAACAAAAATAAGTATATATGCAGCTTTATATAAATGTTTATTACAATATTCAGGTAAATCAGGATCAAACAATTCAACACGTAATTTAACTTCAAATACAATAACTTGTCCAGCAATAAACCATCCAATAACACATAGGAAAAGAATAATAAATATTGGAATAAGAATTTTTAATATCATTGGATTTGATTTCGAATTATCATATGATAATGATGATGGTTTTTTAATAGTTTTTTTCACATAATAAATTATTAAACCAACAACTACTAAAGCAATACCAAAAGCGCCACTAAGAATCATATAAACAAATATAAATTGTCGTATAGTACATTGGCCAATATATATAAAACCAATTAAAATTTGTGTTACTGGTACACTAGCATAAAGAGCAAGTGAAATAGGAAAATAAATTGAACCATAATATCCAACTGGAGATTTATAAGAAGATTCTTCAGATGATTTCATTTGATTAGATGATAATGGTAGATTAGAATTATCTGGTGAAGGTATAAGATAATCAGCATTTTCTTCTGTTGGATCTCTATATGTGACTTTTTTAGTTTTAGTAGACATGATAAAATTTATATCTTAAAAAAAAAAAAAGAAATAATATATATATTGTATGATTATTTGCAAGAATAATATTTACTAAGATAAATATCTTTTCAATTATAATTATCTAATATTTTTTTAATCAAAGAAAAAAATTAGTTCTAATTTAAAAATAATTTTTAAATCTATTAATGATTTTTATATTTTCAAACGAAAATAAATCTATAGAAATGATAAACGATCAATATATCTCACCTTATTTCTTTTCACTATTCTTTCTTCTTCTTCTGTTATGTAATTGTCAAAGTATAACTACATACTATTACCAGTTCTCTGTTAGTACGACCTTGAATGTCAAGCATGTTCATTCTTTGTTCTTTTCCGTCAAATTTCTTTTCTTTTGTGTTCTTTTGAAACTTTTTTTTTTTTATTTATCCATGTATATTAGTCTTACCATAGCTGGCAGAGAAAGAGAGAAATGTAGGATGTTGGTACGAGTGGTCTATTATAAATAAGAAAAAAAAACGAAGAGAAACTAAAACGACAGCGGTGTGATGACAACGCATAGAAGAAAAAAAAAAGAGGTAAAAATGCCAAGAAAGAGAAAACGTGGAGTACGATTTTGAGTTTGTGTGTGTGTGCAATAAACTGCCAGTGATAATATAAAGAGAAAAAAAAATCTAAAGGACATGTACATAAGCGAAAGTAAGTGTATGTAAAAAGAAAAAAAGAAGAAAGAAATTATTCTTCTCATTTCTTATGTCAAAATTGAGAATTAGAAAAAAAAAGAAAGAAAAAAAAAGAGTTGACCTTTAATAATCAAAGATATTTTATACATATCATTTTCCAAAATTTGTCTTTTTTTAATATATAAGCATGGCTGCGCAGTATTTTAAAAGAAATAATTAATTCATTTGAATATGCAAACAATTATGTCATATGCATATGTGTTTATTTTATTAGACACTTATCAAGATGATTGCAATTTTGTCATACTTATATGATCTAACAGATCGAAAATGAAGACATTATAAATGAATATGTTTAAAGAATAAGTTATTATTTTGTTCGTTTATTGATGATTTATTTGAAGAAAGAAAACTAAATTAATAATTAAAATTAAATTTAATAGAAAAATAGCATTACAATCTATTGATGATCTTTTTTTTCTAATTATGACAACTAAAATATAAATTTTTTTGTTCACCGTATATTAAAGGACGTGGACGTATAAACTATAGAAAATGGATCACTAGGGATTTATTGACATTTCA